GCATTCCTGAAACTCCTTCCTGCCACCCCTCCTTTTGTTGTGCCAGTGTATCACACCTGACCTAGGAAAGTGCTGACTTGTGTTTACATATATATGTATATAATTTTTGGTTTTGTAGAAGGTTTAAATATAATCATTAGGTTTAAAACAAGAATGAAATGTTACATGTTTCTTTTAGTATTTATTCTTCACATTAATCAAGGTGTAACAGCTGCTTCTAATGAAAAATTTATTCTCGTGCCTTTGGCCATCGTTTGTGCATTTGCAAGTGGTTATTCAAAGGATAGTAGCAGTTAAAAGCATATAAGCTTTAAGTTCCTTAATTTGATGAGTTGTTCCTTCCCAATATCTAATTACATTGCATGTTTTCATAGTGTTTGCGGAAGTATGTGGTATTTTCAGGGTTGGATTGATACAGATATTTTTAGTAACTGCAGATTAGTTTCAATTAGTATTCTTCATCACTGCCCTGTTCAGTTGGAACGTTTAACGTGAGATTTTGGGAATGAGGCATGCATCTTAATCTGTTAGCTCTTGTTAGATGTGTGTGTGGGCTACATTCTTCATTATTAACACATTACGTAAAGCTGGAATGAAAAGCCAAGGAAACACGCTACTAGTGATGCTATTTCACTGGGAAATGTATATATTTACTAGGAAATATGTCAGTGTAGAACTATTTTGTGTCGCTCACTTAAGATCTCAGTACAGAATGAATAAGAAAGAAAATACATTTACATGAATAGTCTATGTTAGATGTAATGGCAAACCAAAAATAATTCTGTCTTAAGTGACCTTTAGATACCTCTGAAATAATAAACACAGCAGATGCACATTTTATGAAGATTAGCTGTCAGTATGAGGAGATTAATTTTGATAGGATTCTAGTCTTGACGTGCAGCTGTTTATGCCTTTATTTGTGGTTGCGTGCTTTTACAATGCTTGTATGCCACCATCTATGTTTTTTGTTATAACAGACTTGTATTTGAGGATTGTGCTCTCCATGCCATTTGGTTAAGTCTAAGCGGTGGACATGGCACGGACAAAAGATTTTTGAGGTTCATCCCCCTTGTGACTGGGCCAAATATAAAGAGGAGAATATAGGGTTCCAGATCATTAATATGTTACCATTGTATGTAAATTCAGGATGATTAATCACCTTAACTGGAACTCTTTATTTATAGAAAAAAAATCCCAACACCTGATGTTAGTTTAAAATTGGTATTTAATTAGGAATATTTTTCTATCAAGTTGTAAAACCCGTTGTATTCACCATTGCTGGTCATATTTGGCTGTAGCTAATATATAAACGCACTGTGCCAGTTTGTAATAACTGAAATGTCAAGTGTTCTGACTTTTAAAACTTCAAGAAGATATTCAAAACACGAGTTGCGCTCTTCCTTTCCAGATATTTACTTTGAAAAAAATCTTCTGTTGTTCTGTGTTAAATTATGAATTTATGACTCTTTTTACTGCTGTGTGAAGTTAATAAATTTTTCCAAAATTTTGATTATTCCTTGTGATTATATCTATTGCTTTGTCATTTTTTTCAGCTAGTTTCATTCTCTGAAGGCAGTTTGGTTTAGAGGTGTTAAAGTCAAATGTGGAAAGAAAATTGAAGTGACTTGATCCAGGCACCACTTGGTTTGCAATGTGAACTTTGAGTGACAAAAAAAATGCCCAATGAAACAGAAGAAACCTCACTCTTAAACACTTCAACAAAGTTAAAAGTTTAGTTACATGGTTATGTATACTTTTCAGAAGCTTTTGCTAAAAAGAGGGGAAACTGCGAAGTCAGCTCCTAACTCGGTGTCTGAAGCTGTCAGAAAATCTGCTATTTTGTTGTGACTTCTGCTGTCATGGTTTCTTAGTGCACCTTCCTGATTACTCTAAACCTTTTGTTTTTCCTTTACTGAACCTATTTAATAAATAACAAAAAAAATTGCATTTGAAAAAGCAGTAATTTATTTTTGAGAAGAGGTCTTCATCTTCAGGTTGTGTAACTGCAAATTGCTGGTTTAAGGCCCTGTTCTGCTTTGCACCATGGACAACAGTGGAACTTAGTGGGAATTTGTGCAGTTTGAGTTTGAGTGGTAACCTGGGGGGGAGGGTAGAGAGACACTTCAGGTAATTGGGCAGCTGGAAAATCCCAGGTAGGTGTAATGCCTTAGATGAAATTAAAGGTAATAGGAGGCCAAGAAGAGCGGGTAGGAAGAGATTCTAGCGTATAGTGGCATATGTTGGGAAAGGATTGTAATCACCCTTGGGGTCTTTAACTCTTGTTTCTTTGTCCCCTCAGAACTTCAGAGATGCCGCTGATGCAGTACAGTATAGTTATATAGGAAATACGGAGTTAAATAGCTGAATAGTGGTGCCCTTCATGGTTGTCTTGGTGGGTAACTGCCTTTCCTCCTGGCAGGAGAAAGCTGTATGTTGCAACTTTCCCTGAACCTATTGAATATGTCTGATCTGCTTCATCTGCACATTTGCACTTGGTCTGGTACTTCTGGAAATGCTGGATTTACTGCCTGTGCAAATAAGGTCTGCCTATAGTTTTTCCTCTGTCTGTGAAACTCAGGAAAGAATAGTTAGGAGTAGTCCGCTCTGATTACCATCTTTCCAGACCTCTCCTGAGATCTGATGGGGATCATCAATAGAATGAGCCACAAAGTAGTGCTTAACAATAATATGTTCAGTCTCAACAAAACACAAGTAGAAGTATTTCAATGTACAAGTGATTAAGAAGTGTTACCTAGATTAAAAGTGCATCATATATCTTGCAGAGAGTATACCTAATACAGATTTACTTTTAGTTTCAGTACAAAACGGTTCGATTCATCAAAAGGATGCAGTAAATGATGATGATTTTGAGCCATATCTAAGTAGTCAGACAAATCAGGTAAGTGAACATTATTTACTATCTTGAAGTTAATTTTGGAATTCAACTGACTTCCAGACTTAATTAATTTTTGGATGATAATTCTTAGCATTACTTACTTGCCTGAATATCCATTGAAATATAATTTTGGATTGTATCTTTTCCTATCGTACGGTATCTTAAACAGGTAAAGTCTTCTTAATAATTCTGGAAAAGATTCAGTTAAAAAGCATGCTCTGATGTTCCTGCTCTTGTGCTTGTACTCTGACTTTGGAAAGCAGCAGTTACAAGAAGCTGGAGGAAAAAAACAAACCCAAAAACCAAAACACAAACCCCAAAACAAAACCCCAAACCTTAAATTTACAATGAAATCATTATGTATTGGATGCAGTGCAAAACAAGAGTTTCATTGGCTCTGAATATTAACTACTTGGACATGATTTCCTTTGAAGTTGGTAGAAGTAGCTCACAGTTGATGACATCATAGATTGAAGCTTAATATTATTATGGCTTAGTATATGTTATAACTCTTCTGCCAGGAAGTTAATGGCTTATTTTCAGAGCTATGTGTTATCTCTGTAGTCCAAAGTTAATATTCCTTATGTTAAGTTTGTAAGGTGTAGCAGTCTTGAGAGAGGGAGAAAGTGCAAATTATTAAAATGCTTTGAGAATTTTACTTGCATTCCTATTTTTTTTTCAAATAATACAACATTAAGGAGGCATCAGCTCGGGGATGATAATGTGTGTTTTTTTCCTCAGAACAATATCAGAAGTCATATGGGGGTAGTCCTTCAAATGTCTTTATGTTCTCAAGAATTAAATGCTGTGATTTCCCAGGAGTCTTAGGAGTGGGATTTGATTTAGCTAGCAAACTTTCTTCTGCTAGACCATGGATTGTACTTAATGCCCATTCTCAATAGTGTGGAAATGTTACAGTTTGATTGTTGTTCCTCCTAAAACAAACAAGCATCCTTTTCACTATAATATTCTGGCAGGTGTCTCCAATTAGAAGTGAGAAATTTGACAAAAATCTAAGAATAACAGAACTTTAAATCAGTTGCAGCTATTTTTCTGTATTTATGAAACTACAGTTGTTATGACTAGTTTTTTAAAGTAGCTTGTTATTTTCTTGATACTGTTGACATGGAAGCATTTTATGCCTAGCTCAGTAACTGTAAATGAAGATAATATATTACAAAAAAAATATGGCTCTTCAGTGCTTTGAAAAGGTCTCTTAAGGAAAAAATGGCCATATCTAATGGATACCTTCTTCACCTTTTACGTTGGGAGGAATGGTGGAAGTTACAAATGCATTCATATAATCCTTAAAAATGTTTTGGACTGTATTACATGTGTGGTGGGTTTTTGTGTTGTGTTTTTTTTTTTTTTGCCTTGAGCATAATTGTCTATATTGCTGATTTTTGTTTTATTTTCTTGCAGAGTAACAGCTATCCACCAATGTCAGACCCATATATGCCTAGTTACTATGCTCCATCTATTGGATTTCCATACTCTTTAGGCGAAGCAGCGTGGTCAACTGCAGGTGACCCTCCAATGCCATACTTGACAACTTATGGACAGATGAGTAATGGTGAACACCATTACATACCCGATGGTGTATTTAGTCAACCTGGGGCATTAGGAAATACCCCTCCATTTCTTGGGCAGCATGGATTTAATTTTTTTCCTGGGAATGCAGACTTCTCTACATGGGGGACAAGTGGATCTCAGGGACAATCAACGCAAAGCTCTGCTTACAGCAGCAGCTATGGCTATCCACCTAGTTCTCTTGGGAGAGCCATAGCAGATGGACAGGCTGGATTTGGCAGTGATACTCTGAGCAAGGTGCCTGGGATTAGCAGCATTGAGCAAGGCATGACTGGACTGAAAATTGGTGGAGATATGACAGCTGCTGTAACAAAAACTGTAGGTTCAGCTCTGAGCAGTACAGGTATGACAAGCATTGCAGCAAACAGCGTGCCCCCGGTTAGCAGTTCAGCACCTAAACCAACCTCATGGGCTGCCATTGCAAGGAAGCCTGCTAAACCTCAGCCGAAACTCAAGCCTAAAGGTAATGTGGGCATTGGGGGCCCTGCTGTACCACCACCACCTATAAAACACAACATGAATATTGGAACTTGGGATGACAAAGGGTCAGTGGTAAAAGCACCTCCAGCCCAACCAGTACTGCCTCCTCAGACTATAATCCAGCAGCCTCAGCCATTAATTCAACCACCACCACTGGTGCAAAGCCAACTGCCTCAACAGCAGCCTCAGCCACAGCAACCACAACAGCAACAAGGACCTCAGCAGCAGGCCCAGCCTCACCAGTTGCAGCAACAGCAGCTGCAAAACCGCTGGGTAGCTCCTCGTAATAGGGGTGTGGGCTTTAGCCAGAACAACGGAGCTGGTAGTGAGAACTTTGGTTTAGGTGTTGTATCCGTCAGCTCCTCACCTTCTGGTGTGGAAGTGCACCCAGTGCTGGAGAAACTAAAGGCCATAAACAACTACAATCCCAAAGACTTCGATTGGAATCTGAAGAATGGACGTGTGTTTATAATCAAAAGTTATTCAGAGGACGATATTCATCGCTCCATTAAGTACTCTATCTGGTGTAGTACTGAACATGGTAATAAGCGCTTGGATGCTGCTTACCGTTCCCTGAATGGAAAAGGCCCACTCTATTTACTCTTCAGTGTGAATGGCAGTGGACACTTTTGTGGAGTGGCTGAGATGAAGTCTGTTGTGGACTACAATGCATATGCTGGTGTCTGGTCTCAGGATAAGTGGAAGGGGAAGTTTGATGTCAAATGGATCTTTGTTAAAGACGTTCCCAATAACCAACTGCGGCATATTCGTTTGGAAAACAATGACAACAAACCAGTTACCAATTCGAGGGACACTCAAGAGGTACCCCTAGAAAAAGCTAAGCAAGTGCTTAAAATAATTGCTACTTTCAAGCATACCACCTCAATCTTTGATGACTTTGCACATTATGAGAAGCGTCAAGAGGAGGAGGAAGCCATGCGTAGGGTAAGAAATCAATGTCATTATAGTAGGTCTCCTGTTTTTTTCTGTTTTTGGAAACCTTGTTTTTCATACAACTGGAATTTCTGTGTGTGAGTGTTGAATCAGAAAATGGTGTGTTTTACCCAAGGTGTCTGTACATGATATAACTGGCTTTTAATGAAAAGATTTAAGTTCTTGTAACTTGTTTTGTTAACACAGGCATGTGTTTGACCACAGTACTAACGTAGGCCTGCATAAGCGGACTTCTGACATGTTTTACCCTTCAAAGTAAACAAAAACTGAATTGAGTGTATTATCCGTAAGTGAAGTCTTCTAGTTTAGATTTTTACGGTTTCTGAATGTCACAAGAAGAACCTGAAATTACAGAACTTTACTTAACATAACATTTCAATTCAAATTCTGCTTTAACAAAATGTTAACAACATGATTACTGTGAAAAGCATGTTTTCCCCTTGATTCAGTTTGTCTTTTGTACAATTGTGAAACACAAGTGATGTAGTGATGACTTATACAGTGTTGGTATAATTTTTTGGACATGTCTGATAGTGCATTTCCTAAAAAAAAGTAATGTGTAGTTCATTTCTGCAAAGAAAAGTATACCTATGATAAAGGTTTCTCTACAGGTTTAGTTTTGAAGTATTTCAGAAAACTAGACAAGGGAAAAGGGCATGTAATTTAAGCTGTTATGGTACTTGTCTACTTTGTCTTGTGTGTACTCTCCTTACTAATAACACTTACGTTCACCATTGGACACAATATTTACTTTTGCTATATTTATCTTCTTTTCAGGCTAGCTAGTAACTGGAAATACATGATTTATCTCATGGTTAGAAACATTTCAGGAGTTACTGTACCAGTTAGATGATGTGCAAGTATTCAGAAATGGGAGTTTGCATCAGTGCAGTTTGGTGGTAGTGCTCTCCGTTCATCCTGTCACACCAGCTACTGAAGACAAAAATCCTAAAAGCCCAGGGTTTATGCTAATTGGGGGCCTTGTGAGATGTGAAGTCCTGAATTTGTTCGCTTCTTGAAGCTGCCACAGTTCTGGCTGCGTAAGAATTTCACCTGCTTCACAACCTCCTTACCTCTCTTAGGTTTCTTGTACTGCAGTGGTTCCACCCCTCGTGTACATTCCTAATCCTTCAACACACACATTACATCTCCTATAGACCAGTGTTGTGCATACCCAAAATCAGTTTTGTAGTTTTATTGCACATCTCTGCAATAAATTGTCATGTTGGAAGTTTTTTTGTTGTTTGGAGGCAAGATGAATATCCCAGTTGGGTGTGTAATGCCTTTTGAATTTTTTTTCTAAAAAGAAAACTGAATATGCCTTCAATCAGTATTGTTACTTCCATAGTATCTTGATGATGGGAGAATGGGCCACATTCTTAACTAATATTCAGTGTAAGGGGAAAACTTTGACTTTTTCAGGCCTTAGTACAACTTCATTGTGATTTTGGTAATGATTCAGAAGGACTAAGATTATCATGTTTCTCTGTAGCCTTCATATTTCAGTATTTTCTTAATTTTTCATGTTTTAAGACACTCCACAAATAACTGGTTTGCTTCGAAAGTATGTATTTTTGTGAAAAAACTTATCAAAGGAGTCATAAATCAGACACGCCCTAGTAACTTGGGAAGATAGCGTGTTTTATTTGTTGTTTTGTTCCTAGGTGTTAGATGAAAGCCACGAAATGTAATGGAAAAGGAGAACATAGACTATTGGTAGTGTTTCTATGTATGCTAAACTTAAAATTCAAAGTGCTGAATTCAACATTTAGTGGATCACTAACTAGATGACGGTGTTTATGCATATTTGTGTAATAAAGTAACATTGCTGTTTCCTTTAATATCTTCAGGGAAACATACAATATCTGTATGACTCAAGTACTGAATTCATAATTTCTCTGTTAACAGTACCTTTCCCTATACTGAGAATTGATAGAATTTCTCTCCCAATTGAGAGAAAACATACTTGTCCAGATACTTGCATCGCAGGCATTATTCTCCTGCAGCATCATACAAATTGGTTTTGTGGCAAATTATAACAAATGACTTCAGAGCTGCATGTCTAGTTGTGAGGTTTTATCTTTATATGTGGATTTGAGATATGCTTTAAGCAAATGCATATGTACTTAAAATATAGAAAGTCCAAATTAAACTAATGACGGCTACTGAGAGCTCATCTTTATCATTCTCTTATGATTGAGTGTTGATTTTTAAACCTCTAAATTTCTTCTTTTATCACACAGTATACAAACAACCTGTCTTTAAGTCGTGAACATAGAATTGTTAACTCTTATGACTCAAGAGTAGTTTGGAAATGCAATAATTAGTATTGTAAGCTCTGCTTTATGGTTAATTGAGTAGTCCTTTATTATCTAGTGCCAGCTAGGCTTTTATGGAGCTGTATTTAAATTCGTACACTTTCTACTTCCAGTAGAACTGTGTAAATGAAGTTCATGCACATTTTCTGTGGCAGCTGTGGCAATCATTTTGTTTCCAGTGTTTCGGTTGTGAAAAATGTGCTTGTTGCTGTTAATAAAATATTAAATGCATGAAGCAGTAGTAGTCATTTACATGTTCCTTAAGGTTCAGTTAATGTTTTGTTGTTGCATAGGTGGTAACAAACTTTCATATAGCAAGTGATCTAACCATAGTAAACAGCGTATGATTTATGGATTTAATTTACTTTGTAACTGTTCATCAATCCAGCTAACTTATTTTAAAATAATTGGTTGTAAAAGTTTAATCTTAACAACTTGGGGGGGATCAATAATTAATTTCCAATATGACCTAGCAGTATGTTTTATTAAAATATGACAGTATACTTATAAAAGTGCAATGAATAGTCTGTGATTAACATGAAACTTCAGTAACTTTGCCATTTGATAAAGGTTACTTGCAAATGACTATGAATAGTTGCTTTAAGCATAAATATGAGAACTCTAGTGTCTTCTGCTGTTTGATGTGACCCTGGTGTGGGTAAGGTATCTGCAATTGGGGCTGGAAACAAATTTGTGCAGGAATCATTCACACTTTTCTTATGGCTCAGGTGCCAGTGTCCTATTTTAAACGTACAAGTGCTGCGATCCTTCACCAAAGGAGCAAAGAAATAGCAGTGTTTTTCACGAGTTCTGTCAGTAGTATATTGAAATGATCTGAAATTGCATTAGTCCTTAGTTTGAACTACTGCTTTGTGATGTAAATGTACATATTTGTGTGGAGATTATTTAAAAACATGTTTGACTGTCTTTCAACAGAAGGCAGTAGCAATAAGATCTAAAAAAAATGGAACTGAAGTTTAAGAGCACGTAATTACATTAGGAAAATAAAAGGTATGGAAAAAAAGTATCTGTATTAGTAGTTATGTACCTGATCTTCAGTTAATACATGGATCAAAATGAAATGAGACTCTGATTAAAAATGCGGTTGGACGACTACAACTTCCTCACCCTTAGGTGGTGGCTTGTTAACCTGTTGTCCTAGGACTTCTTTTGGTGCTCTTTAGTGCAGAATTCTGCTTTTGCAGCATATAATAGAAAAAAAAGATCGTGATTCCACATAACTGCAGAATGCTTTAGAATGCTTAGTGAGATAGTTCAGAAAAATAAATAATTTTTATCCATGGGAGGAGGTAGAGGAATTCAGTCTATATTTGTGTTTTCTGATTTGCATTTGGAATTTTTACTTTTCAGGAAGCCTTTAAATGGCACGTAAATAAGCATTTAAAATATTAGCTTTCTCCTGTTGTAGTTCATATCTTGTATTAGGAACACTGATATAGCTAAAACTTTCTGACTCTCAAAAGAAGTA